ATTCCTCATGTGCAGGTGTTTGCCCGTGTGGCCCCTAAGCAGAAGGTATGTGCAGGACCCTGGGGTTGGGCACTGGTGGCTTTGGGGATGGCTGCAGCCCCAATTATTTCATGCTTTCATGCAGGAATTTGTCATCACTAGCCTGAAGGAGCTGGGCTATGTGACTCTCATGTGTGGAGATGGCACCAATGATGTGGGCGCGCTGAAACACGCTGATGTGGGTGAGCACCAATAGCTGGGAGCTTTGTCTTCATCACTAGTGTGAGGACGGCTCACTTGGCCCTGTTGCTCAGAGACAAGGCATTTGATAGGAGCTGGGGGTGTGGCTCCTCCCTAGAACCCTCCAATGAGAGGCCAGAGGTATGAGTTAGCAGATGTCTTCCTTATATGTACAAAGTCCTGAGTTTCATCCCAAACACTGAACAAATAAGTAATTTTAATTCATAGCCTCCCTGGGCAGTGGTGCTCATCCAGGCAGATCTCTGTCATCCCAGAGCTCAAAAGAGTCTGGGGTTCAAGTTTATTCTTGCCTGTGTAGCAAGTTCAAGGCCAGCCTGGTAACATGGAACCCTGTCTTTCAAGAAGAAATCTTGCGGCTGGAGAGATGGCTCAGAGTTTAAGAGCACTGGCTGTTCTTCAAAAGCCCTGAGTTCAGTTCCCAGCAACCACATGGTGGTTCATCAATGATGAAATCTGGTGCCCTCTTCTGGCCTCAGGCACACATGCAGACAGAATACTGTATAAATAATTAAATCTTAACAAAACCAAGAAATCTTGAGGAGCCTACAAGGTCAGAGAAGGAAGGGTACAAGCATGAGGACCCCTCACAGAGGGTGTGAATCCTAGGGTCAGGTATGGTTGCCACAGTTCACTGTCGGTGCAAGTGTTGACAGTCCTAGACCTCAAAGACTAAGCTTTGATCTTTCTGGGTTTTTTTCCATTTTGCCTGCATTGTCTGGAGTTCTCGACTTCATAGACTTTTTTTTTTTTTTCTTGAGTAATTAGTTTCTTTGGGGACTAGTAGTTTTTTACCCCCCTTCAAGTTAGGGTTTCTCTGTGTAGCCCCTGGCTGTCCTGGAACTCACTCTGTAGACCAGGCTGGCCTCCAACTAACAGAGATCCACCTGCCTCCTGAGCACTGGGATTAAAGGTGTGCACCATCTCCGCCTGGCTTGCTTTCTTTTTTCACCCAGTGTTTTAAAATACATTTCTTAGTAATGTTTGGTGGCGTTTCAATGCTTGTGGAGGTACATGCCTGCCGCCACATAGTTGTACGGGTCAGAGGATGCCTTGTGGGGTTGGTTCTCTTCATGGTCACGTGAATGCCAGGCATATGTGAGACATGGTTTTATTTGCCAAGCCATTAACCAGCAAAGCAACTTGGCCAGTCCCTGAGGCCCTCACAGAGCAGTCAGGTAAATGGGGGATCTTGGACCAGCTCAGCCTGGGGTCTAGCTCTGCAACTGGATACTGGTACCTGCCTCTGGGCCTCTCCACCACTCCTTCCTCATGCCTTCTCAGGCGTAGCACTCCTGGCCAATGCCCCTGAGAGGGTTGTAGAACGGCGACGACGGCAAAGGGACAGTCCAGTCCTGAACAACAGTGGCCCCAGAGTCTCCTCCAGGTCAGCCAAACAGAGGTCGCCACTCCTCTCCCCCGAGGAGCCACCAGCCTCCCACAGGGTGAGTGTCCAAATCGGAAATGCCCACAACCTTTGTTAGCCAGAGCTGACCCCTGTTGGCCTCCCCGCAGGACCGCCTGAGCCAGGTGCTGCGGGACTTGGAGGACGAGAGCACCCCCATAGTGAAGCTGGGGGATGCCAGCATTGCAGCGCCCTTCACCTCCAAGCTCTCCTCCATCCAGTGCAGTGAGTCCCAAGCACCTCGCCCTGCCCTTTCCTGGAGCCGTGCTCACCCTGCACCCTGCCCAGTCACCCAGAAACACGCCCCTACCTACTCCTGCCCTGCTTCCCCACAGTCTGCCACGTGATCAAGCAGGGCCGTTGCACGCTGGTGACAACACTACAGATGTTCAAGATCCTGGCCCTCAATGCCCTCATCCTGGCATATAGCCAAAGTGTCCTCTACCTGGAAGGTGTCAAGTTCAGCGACTTCCAGGCCACCCTGCAGGGGCTGCTGCTGGCTGGCTGCTTCCTCTTCATTTCCCGCTCCAAGGTGAGCCCTGGACCACCTAGGGCTGGCCACAGGGCATTTCAAGAGCTCTTGTGGATTGGAATTGTCATCTCCCAGGTTACAGACAGACCTAGAGCCCAGAGGCAGGAGTCCTGAGATTGCACAGGACATACAGACAGGGTCAGGCCTGGCTGGCTGCCAGTGATACAGCTTAGGGTACACCACTGACTGTGAGCTTGGGGTCCAGGCAGGTCACAGCCCCAGGGCAAAGGAAATGATGAATTAGAGCAAGCAGAGGACACACAGTGCTGTGAGGGGGGAAAAAGTGTGTCACAGGCTTTTGGGGCTGGCCTCAGGGACAGCCAGGGAGGCCTCCTAAGGAAAGGGTGCTGCCACAACCGGAGTCGGCGCTGGTCACTGATGTGGCGAAATAGAGGTCTAGTGGCCAGAGGCTGTGTGTGTCAACTTCCCATCAAGGTGAGGAAAGGCTGCACAGAACACCTTGAAACAAAAGGTCTGTCTTGGCTTAGGCTTCCAGAAGTTTCAGGCCACTCACCTCACAGCAGCTAAGAGAGAAAGGCTTGTCCTGAGGGCTGCACTCCCTTTATTCTGGCCCCACCAACTAAGCCTTTTTCAGTCCAGGCATGAGGTCAGAGCCTTAGAGATCCAGTCACTTTCCAAAGTCCTACCATAACACGTTCCCTGGGTCTTCTGGAGACATTAGGGTGGGAAGCTAGCAGGCTGGACCAGGCATGCCTCCAGGTCCTAGGCTCTGACTACCGTCTTGGGGGTAGAGAGTGAATCTGTTTCCTGACGGATCTCCATTGTTACCGTGGGATACAGACTATTTGGGGCATATGCAGCCCCTGGGTCAGTATCAAACAAGGTTCCTGAGGAGTCAGGAGTATCCTCTCACTCCCTCTTGACTGAGTAAGCTGCCTCTGTCATTCCTGCCCTGCAGCCTCTCAAGACTCTTTCCAGGGAGCGGCCCTTGCCCAATATCTTCAACCTCTACACCATCCTCACGGTGATGCTGCAGTTCTCTGTCCACTTTCTGAGCCTCGTCTACCTGTACCGTGAGGCCCAGGCTCGCAGCCCTGAGAAGTAAGTGGTGTTTGGGAAGACAGGAGGGCAGGGGCAGCCAGCCAGGCCCTGGCTCTGGATCATGGCAGCAAACTTCAGAGGGTGCCTGAGCAGAAGGGTACTGACACCCTCATGCCCTTGCAGGCAGGAGCAGTTTGTAGACCTATACAAGGAGTTTGAGCCAAGCCTGGTCAACAGCACTGTGTACATCATGGCGATGGCCATGCAGATGGCCACCTTCGCCATCAACTACAAGGTGAGGCGCCGCATGCCTGCCCATACCCACCTGGTGGACCCCTTGCCCAGCCCTCCCCAGGCAGCTGTGCTTTTTCCTTACAGGGCCCACCCTTCATGGAGAGCCTGCCTGAGAACAAGCCCCTGGTGTGGAGCCTGGCGGTGTCACTGCTGGCCATCGTTGGCTTGCTCCTCGGTTCCTCGCCCGACTTCAACAGCCAGTTCGGCCTCGTGGACATCCCTGTAGAGGTGAGTGGCTCTGAGCTATGGCCCCTGGCTCAGCCCAGCTCAGCCACTGACCCAGCTCACCTGCCTCCTCCTTGACAGTTCAAGCTGGTCATCGGCCAGGTCCTGGCTCTGGACTTCTGCCTGGCACTCGTGGCTGACCGTGTCCTACAGTTCTTTTTGGGGACCCCGAAGCTGAAAGTGCCTTCCTGAGACGATGGTGCTGGTATCCACCGCCTACCTTGGCTGCCCAGAGACAGGAGCATCACCGTTGCCCCGGGGGGACACTGCTCCCATCTCCACAGCAAGGCCGCGCTGCCTTGCTCTTGGAAGACTTGAGCTGGGACCCTGTGGGCATCCGCTGGCCGGGTTAGTGGAAGCAGCCCTGGCTAGCACCTTTGGTAAATAAATCGGCGTCTGCAATTTTATGAAGCCTGCATTCACTTGTCTGTGCCACCTCTCACCACCACAGGCACAGAATGACACCCTCTGTGGGCATCCAACCCTTTCTTAGGCCAAACCTAGAGCTGGGACCCCAGGTTTTTAATCTCATGCACATCCTGTATTTGTTGGGTTTTTTCAACCCTGAGAGGCTAACGGTATGCCTTCCTTGGTGCAGGGACAGAGATGCAGAATACTGTCCTTGCAGTCACAGGTCTCACTCCGGTTCTGAGACCTGTCTCGTACCACAGATTAGGCTGCCAGCGGCTGGGGCCCTCAACCCAGCCCTGGATAGTCTCCAGGCTCTCAGGAAGATACCTGCAGGTGTGGGACTCCTGAGCCTGGGATGGAGCTTGGAGGTCCCAGTACAAGGTGTTCGTGCCTGCCTGCCAAAAAGTGCCGACTGCACTGAACGGAACCACCTCAAAAGCCTGACCCAACCAGACAGTGGCACACACTCAGCAGGCAGAGGCAGGGGCAATCTCTTAAGTTTGAGGCTAACCTGGACGCACACCGAATTCAGGCCAATCAGGCCAAATAGCCGTTTGTCTCCAAAATAAAAAAAAAAAAGGAACCTGACCCAGCTTTGAAAGCTGCAGGGTGCTGGGGACTTCGGGTTCCCTGCAGCCTTCATGACGTCAGTTCTTCACTTGGGGCGCCCTGGATCTAAGTGTCTGAACTAATTCAGTGTAGTCTCTGGGTGAGGAGGCCAGCAACTTAGGCTTCCTAGAAGAGAGTGCTAACGGGCTCAGAAATCTGAAGAAGGGACCTGCTGACCTGCTGAGGCTCAGCTCTGCAGCAGGGACTGAGCGCTGAAAGCAAGTCAGAAGTGCGATGGTAACTTCCGGGAGGGGCGTGGCCGTCTCGGGGGCGGGGCGATACCGCTGGGCCCGCAGAGGCAGGAAATCGGGGCTGGTCCCGGGCGGCGGTCAGCCCTGTCCCATCTCAGCTCCACCGCGCCTTCCCTACTCCACCCCCTGCCCCCGGGCCTCGCCATGGACGCAGCTGAGACAGGTAGGGGCGTGGGGACCGGGGTGGGGGGCCCTCCCACGACCACTTCTCAGCGCCTAAATCAGGGAGCCCAACTTGACCTGACAGCGGAAAAGGAGTACTGGCAAGGGGAGGAATGTGGGGAGCCCCAGCACCCTGGATAACTCCGAAGCGCACAGGACGCACGGCGCCGGCCCCTGACCCAGGGACTGCCCTGCAGAGCCGGCACCCCGGATGCCTGGGGGAAGGGGCCCAGGAAGGGGAAGTGGCCGCTTCTGCTTCTGATTGTGTCGGATGGATGGGGGCGGGGTGTCACGGCCAGGGTCCCTGCAGGGAGCCCTGGGGGACATGGGTCCAGGGGCGGCAAAATTGAGACTACGTCTGGGTTACGTTTCCGGCTGTCTTTGTGTGTCGAGTGTCATTCAGTGCTGTCCCTCGTGGTTTCAGCCGTACTCGCGTGTGTTTATGCCTCGGGCTAAGCGCCTGTGCGTCCCACGTGCAGTTCCATCTGTCTGGCTTGGGGTCCATGTGGCTCCATTGTCAAGCCAGCCCTCTACTCCGGCGTTCGTGTGGCAGCTGCGTCTGTATTTTTCCTTTGCTCATGAGTCCGCGCCTGTGTGGGTGTCTCTGTGACTGAGCAACCGCTTCTCTGATTTTGCCTGGGTTCGTCTGTTCGCTCTGCAATGAGCCCACCGAAGCTCGCAGTGCCATCCCACACTAGCCGTGGACTCATACAGGTCTCTGTGTCTCTGTCTCTGACTCTCTCTCTTCCACCTCTGTTTTAGAGCTGGGTGAGGCGCATGCGATTGCTTTGCCACCACCGTGGGTGGAGGGAGGCAGTGGTTGGCTCATGTTTTCTTATACTTCCCTTCCCCAGACTTAACCCCAGCTCCCGAGGGCAGAAAGAGGTACAGTGACATCTTCCAGAGCCTGGACAACCTCGAGATATCACTGGGGAACGTGTGAGTCCGAGCCTGTGTCACCATCTGGCTGAGCTCCCCAACTATCTATGTATCACGCTGCCTCACATCAGGACACCCTGACTTTCGACCCTGAGCCTCCCAAACACCTGTGCCCACTGGTATTTTAGATGGCACAGGCGTTTTGGGTGTATCTCAAAAGTGGTCCTCATGATCCCTTAAAATGGTTGAAATAACTATAATCCCACTCTGTGAACCCCTAAATTACCTAGGGCCCTTCCAACCCTTTCTCAAGTCTTGTTTTTAGAAAACGCTCTCACCTGGGAATGGGCATATAGCTGCGTAGTTAGCAGGTGCATAGCATTCACAAGGCCCAGCATTTAATCCTGCCTGTACCACAAAAGGGCAAGGGGTGGTGGTGGATGGAGTTCGCTTGGTAGAATGCTTGTCTGGTATACACAAAGCCCTGGATTCCATCCATAGTACTGCACAAACCAAGCAGGGTGGTGGTGCATGACTGTAATTCCAGCACTTGGGAAGTAGAGGCCAACACAGTGAGTTGAAGGCCTGCCCTGCCAGGGTACAAGAGCTTCTGCCTCGAAATAAACAACCCACAGCCTCACCTGGTTCCCTTAAATCCTCAGATCAAACCTAGAATCACAGATAACTTCAAAGACTACATTTCTTCCTTCTCCCCCAACTGTCCTAGCAGCCCCAGGACTCTTCCCCTACAAAGGACAGTCTAGGCAGAAATGGCTTCCTAACACCATTATCCTCCCCTGACCCCCAGGACTTTCGACCACCTGGCTGGAGACCTTGTACTCAGAGAGGACCTGGAGCCTGACAAGGCTGCCACAGCCACAGTGGTGACTGAGGAGGTAAGGGACAGGATGAGGGTGCTCAGTGAGGCAAGCACGCTTGCTTTTTGCTTGCTCCTGAATGCTGTCTCTCGTCCCTTTACCCCAGAGCAATGAAGCCAGTTGTTGGAGTGATCCCTCCCCAGAAGGTCCTGTACCCCTCACAGGTAGGAGAGGACTTCAGGCAAGGGTGGAGGAGTAGAGGAGGACATTTCTTCACTATTCTGTGCCAGATGTAGGGGCTGGAGCAACCTCACAGTGAATCCATGCCCCTGTCCTAAAGGATTCCCCAGTCTGCATAGAGAATGTGTAAATTTTGATGCTGGCATCCGTCCCAAAAGGGGCTCTAGGGAGCCATAAGGTATGGGATGGAAGCCATGGATCTGGTCACTGGGTTCAGAGAAGGGTTCCATGAGGGGCCAGGGCTCAGGGATTTCCCTATTTGTTCCAGAGGAAGAACTAGACCTGCGACTCATTCGGACCAAGGGTGGTGTGGATGCTGCCCTAGAGTATGCCAAGGCATGGGGCCGCTATGCCAAGGAGCTGCTGGCTTGGACAGACAAGAGAGCCAACTATGGTGAGGCTTCTTTCTGCCCAGCCCCTGATGGCAAGCAGGACCCACACCCCAGTTGCCTACAGACCTCTGTCTCTCCTCCCGTAGAACTTGAGTTTGCTAAGAATATCATGAAGATTGCTGAGGCTGGCAAGGTGTCCATCCTCCAGCAGGTACCAACCCTGCCCCAGAGCCCATCCCCCCTGCCCCCCCTTCCCTGTCCATTTAGACCCTGAAGCAGCCCTGCCCTCCACAGAGCCAAATGCCACTCCAGTACATCTACACCTTGTTTCTGGAACATGACCTCAGCTTGGGAGCCCTGGCCATGGAAACGGTGGCCCGGCAGAAGAGAGACTACTACCAGGTGGGTGCCCTTCCCCCACCACAAGAGGAAGCTCCATGCCGTCCCATTCAGGAGGAAGGAGAGGCCCAGAGATGCTCTTGTCCAGTATTCCTACATTGAGATTCCAACCTGGCTTTCCATGAGACTGCAGCTTGCACACACGCATGCATGCATGCATGCTCATGCACACACAGGAGCACACGTGCTCACACACACACACACACACACACACGCGCGCGCGCGCGCGCGCGCACACACACACGCAAACTGGTGCTTTTATTTGAGAGGGTACTAGGGAAGGTATTTCATTCGTGGGAGTATTAGGGAAGTCTCTGACAGCAGGACTGCACCCCCAGCCCCAAATCTTAAAATTCTTCATCTTAGAAACACAGTTTCATGGGTCATAGTGGTACATGCCTTTAATCCTAACACTTGAAAGGCAGAGGTAGGTGGATCTCTGAGTTCAAGGCCAGCCTGATCTACAGAGTGAGTTCCAGGACAGCCTGAGCTACATGTGAGACCCTATCTTAAACGATCAAACAAAAGGAACACTGATTTCAAGCCTGGCATGATGGTACACACCTTTAATTCCAACACTGGGGAGGCTGAGGCAGGCAACAATCTCTGAAGTGGGGATCAGCCAAGGTCCTTAGCTACACAAGCCTGAGGACCTGAGTTCAATCCCTGAAACACACATAAAAGTAGAAGGAGAGATCCAACTTTATAATGTCCTCTGACTTCCACACACATGGCATGGCATGTGTGCCTGCACACACATCATACACACAATAATAATATAATAATAATAATAATAATAATAATAATAATAATAATAATAAATAGGTTTTAAAAAAGGAAGGGCTAGAGACAAAGCACAATAGTAGAATACTTACCTACCATGTGCAAGGGTTCAAATTCCCAGTAGCAAAAAATGAAAAGAACACATGGAGTCGGCTCAACAGGTGAGGGCACTTGCCACCAAGCCTGGTGGCCTGAGTTTGATTCCTTGGGGCCTCTGTGGAGAAAGGAGAGGCTTGACTCCCTGGCCTCCACAAACATGCCCTGGCATGAGTGTATTCTCTACACAAACACAAAATAAATTTTAAAAAAATTAAAAAGAGGGCCTCAGTGGTTGAGAGTACATACTGCTCTTGCAGAGGACTTGGGTTTGGCTCTTAGCACCCACGACTGGCGGTCCACAACCACCTGGAAATCTAATGCCTCTGTGCACAGGCTCACACACATACCCACAACTTAAAATAACAAAAACTAAATTTAAGACATTTCTATTGAAAAATACAACAAAAAGGGTTGGCAGGATGGCATTTCTCAGGAATAAAGCTTTAGGATGGATCCCTGAAGATGAGATGGGTGGCCATACAACTTTCTGCGTATGTACATGGGCCTAGGGTAGAGCAGGCCTGGTTGAAAAAAAAAAGACTAGCTTCAGAAAAGTGTTCAGGTCTGGGGGATGGGAGGTGGTATCTAGGGGCAGAGCCCATACTAGGGGCTGGGGCATGAAACGGAACAGATGGGAGGGGCTGAAGCTGCTTCCCCGTTTATCCCGTTCTCCACTCCGCAGCCTCTGGTGGCCAAAAGGATGGAAATTGAGAAGTGGAGGAAGGAGTTCAAGGAGCAGTGGCTGAGGGAGCAGAAGCGCATGGTAAGGCCGGGCACAAGGAAGTTCTGCCCGGAAGGATGGAGGCCTCCGCAAGCAAGGGCTTACGATCCTCTTATTGCCCCCAAGAACGAGGCGGTGCAGGCACTGCGGCGCTCCCAGCTCCAGTACATTCAACGCAGAGAGGACCTGTGGGCACGCTCCCAGGGGTCCCCTGAGGACCCTCCTCCCCAGGCGTCTCCCGGATCCAGCAAGCAGCAGGAGCGTAGACGGCGTTCCCGAGAGGAGGCGCAGGCCAAGGTGGAGACCCAGTACCAAGATTTCCTGACGTCTGGCCACTCCCCTCTCCCCAACTTCTCTTCAGTCCTCCCTGCCTTGGTTTCCCCAGGCACGAGAGGCAGAGGCTCTGTATCAGGCTTGCGTCCGGGAGGCCAACGCGCGCCAGCAGGATCTGGAGACCACCAAGCGGCGCATAGTGTCACATGTACGCAAGCTGGTGTTGCAAGGAGACGAAGTGCTTAGGCGGGTAAGGCCTCCCCCAACCCCATGGTCACTCTTGGGCACCAGTGAATACTTCTTTCTCTATCCCTAAGCCATCATGCACATCTCCATCTTTCCAGGTGACCCTGGGACTGTTTGAGTTGCGAGGCGCCCAGGCTGAGCGAGGACCTCGTGCCTTCTCTGCGCTGGCTGAGTGCTGTGCGCCCTTTGAACCTGGTCAGCGCTACCAGGAGTTCGTGCGGGGGCTGCAGCCCGGGGCCCCGCCACCGCCATCTCCCGCCTTCTGCTTCCAGGAGGTCGCGCCTGTGGTGCACAGGTGAGGCCTAGGGCTGGGCTTGGAGTAAGCCTAGAAGCTCCATGCCAGGTTTTAGCATATGTATACACTATAGTTTGATTGTTTACCTCTGTTACCCTGTCTTGTCACCCTCCTAGCCCAGCTGAATGCATTACTCTCTTAACTAGTCACCATGTACTTTAATGTTTTAGAGATTTTTGTTTGGTTGGTTTTTGTTTTTGTTTTCAAGACGGGGTTTCTCTGTGTAGCCCTGGCTGTCCTGGAACTCGATTTGTAGATCAGATCATAGAGCTCTGCCTGCCTCTGCCACTTGAATGCTGGGATTAAAGGTGTGCACCACAACTGCCTGACTCTCTAGGTAACCCTGGCTGTCCTGGAACTCGCTTAGTGCCTTTTTATTTAAATAATTTTTATTTACGTGTATGTGTGTATGCCAGCTGTGTGCAAGTGCCCTCAGAGACCTCAGAAGAGGGCATTGGATCCTGTGGAGCTGGAAGCAGTTGTGAGCCTCCAGTGTGGGTGCTGGGAACTGATCGTGGACCCTGGAAGAGCAGCCAAGCACTCATAAGCCCTGAGCCGCCTCTCCAGCCCCTCATGTGCCTGCTTGCTTGCTTGCCTGCTTGCTTGATTGTTTTTAAATGACTCAATGGCTTTCACTTAGGGTTGCTTACAGGATCTTGAGGGACTTTTGATGAGTTATCCCAGCCTTAGGATGGTTGGGCTAGGACGCTTAAAGGACTGAGACGGTCCTGGACAGCAGAGTATACAAACCTAGGTCCTTGGAGCTGAGACCCAGACTCCATGCCTGCTTGCCAGTTTCCTGGGACCACGTCACCAAACCTCTCTTCTTGCAGTTCCCCTCAGGACACAAAAAAGTTTTCAGGGCCCTTACCTCCAAAGCTGGAGGAGGGTTCCTCTGAGCCTGGCCCTTGGGAGGATGCCAGCTTAGGCAGCCAGGGTAAGTTCATTGAGGCCTAGTGGGTAGAGGGCCTGGGTGTGGACTAGCCTGATTGACATGTCCTCATCTAGGGATTCCAGGCCCCACTCCAGGCAGTGATGTGGACAGTGTAGGCGGTGGCAGTGAGTCCCGCTCCTTGGATTCTCCTACTTCCAGCCCAGGTGAGGGTAGAACCTGACTGTTCTCCACCGCCTTACACACCTGTGCCCTTCTACCCCCACCATTTCTCCTCCAGACCCTAGCCAAGCATTGACCTTTCATCTCCAACCTACCTCTTGACCTCTGATCTACCCCACAACTCTTTCCTCGAGTGCTGACCCACTCACTGTCTTGGTGGGAGCTTCCTCTAAACCACCAGACAAAGGCCTGGCCCATTCTTGAACTCTTTTTTTTTTTTTTTAAAGATTTTATTTATTATGTCTACAGTGGTCTACCTGCATGTACAACTACACAAAATCTCATTACAGATGGGTGCTGGAATTGAACTCAGGACCTCTGGAAGAACAGCCAGTGCTCTTAACCTCTAAGCCATCTCCCTAGTCTTCCCCCACCCCGCACCCCTCCCCATTCTTTAACTCTTAACCTCTGGTCTCTGACACTTTTTTCCAAGCATATCTTGAAAGTTCTGTAAACCAAATCTGTTTCCTTAGACCTAGCCTGTCTCATGACCACCATAATAACCCTACCTCTGTGCCCCTCTGCTCCCAGGCACTGCCACTCGGCGGCTTGTGAAGGCGCCATCTACAGGCACAGAGTCCTCCGATGACTTTGAGGAGCGAGACCCTGGTAAGGCTGCTCATAAGAGGCAGGTGGGCTTGCAGGAACAAGAGGGCGGCCATGACAGCTTGACCTTTCTCCTTGCAGAGCTGGGGGATGGGTTGGAGAACGGAGTAGGCAGCCCCTTGAGGAAGTGGATACTGTCCACAGCCGCTCAGACCCACCGGCTACGGCGGCTGCGAGGCCCAGCCAAGTGCAGAGAATGTGAAACCTTCATGGTCAGCGGGATGGAGTGTGAAGAGGTGTGGCCTAGACTGGAGACCTAATGACCTCTGACTTTCACCAAACACCCTGACCCGAGATCCCTAAAGCCTTTTTTGCTCTAGGACCTACCTTCGTCTGATGAGCTCACTCTCAGTCTCAGTGTTTATCTATTTGTGCCTGTGTGGCAGGGTACATGACAGTTATGGTGTGTATGTGTTAGAGGATAGTTTAAAGAGTCATTTCTCTCTTTCCTTTGTGTGAGTCCTGAGGCTCAAACTCAGGTTGTCGGGCTTGGTGACAAGTCCCTTTACCTGCTGCACCATCTCACTGGTCAGCTCGAAGGATCTCTGAAGCATCTTCCTTGGCTTTCATGATGATCTCCTCGCCCCCTCTTGACCTCCTGATAACCTTCTTGTCCCCGGTTGACCTCCTAACCATGTGACCCTTCCCCCAGTGCTTTTTGACCTGCCACAAGCGCTGCCTGGAAACCCTCCTCATCCTCTGTGGACACCGGCGGCTTCCAGCTCGGATGCCTCTCTTTGGGGTTGACTTCCTACAACTCCCCAGAGATTTTCCTGAGGAGGTGCCCTTTGTGATTACCAGATGCACAGCTGAGATAGAGCACCGTGCCCTGGGCCTGCAGGTAGGCGGCATCCTCATTATTGACAGTCCCCACAGGTGGTCTGTTCCCACTGGTGGCCAGATCACAAGCCAGGTGTCCCTCATACCACAGGGTATCTATCGGGTCAGCGGGTCTCGGGTGCGCGTGGAGCGGCTGTGCCAGGCCTTTGAGAACGGCCGAGCACTGGTGGAGCTGTCGGGAAACTCTCCTCATGATATCACCAGTGTCCTCAAACGATTCCTTCAGGAGGTAGGTGGCTCGGGCATGTGGCGGGGATGGGCAGGAGCATGAGGCCTCTGGCTGAGGACCCTCGTCAGCCCACCTGCCCTCCTGTACCCACCAGCTCACTGATCCCGTGGTCCCCTTCCACTTCTACGACGCCTTCATCTCTCTGGCAAAGACCCTGCATGCAGCCCCTGGGGACGACCCTGGGCCCCCCAGCCCCAGCCCTGAGACTATCCGCTCGCTGAAGACCCTCTTGGTGCAGCTGCCTGACTCTAACTACAGCACCCTGCGGCACCTGGTGGCCCATCTGTTCAGGTGTGCATGGGTCCCTAAGCTTTGAATTATGGCCCTCCTTCCCTGGACATGGAACTGCTTACCTCTGTGGCACACATTAACCTCTGACCTGTCATATATCTTCTGAGCTCTGAACCCTAGATACCTAAACCTAACCCAACACTGTCCATGTGACTAGTTGGTCTCAGTGACCAGAGCTGACTTTGCTGTGGCCTGGCCAACTCACTGGGCTAGTCTCCAGGTCCTACCCTGTCCTCCACTGATGTCTTCAATTCCACACTATCCTCAGGGTAGCCGCTCGGTTTGAAGAAAACAAGATGTCTGCCAACAATTTGGGAATCGTATTTGGGCCTACGCTGCTGCGGCCACCAGATGGACCCAGGGCCACCAGTGCCAGCCCTGTGGCCTGTCTGCTGGACTCCGGTCACCAGGCTCACCTTGTGGAGTTCCTCATTGTGCACTATGAGCAGATCTTCGGGATGGATGAGCTCCCGCTGGCCTCTGAGCCCCTGATCCAAGACCCTGGCCTGGCTCCTTCACTCCTTGAATCCACTCCCCAGCACCCGGCCCCACTTCTTGCCCAAGACACACAGTCTCTGACCAGAGCCTCAGACTCTAGCCCAGACCCCAAACACCACAGTGCCCTGGAGAAGCGTCCCGAGAGCACACCTCCTGAGGTAGGAGCCTGCTTGTCCCGCAGATGTGTTCAATTCCCCTTTTGTACAGCTGGATATCGAAACCAGCGCCTGGTGTGCAGTAGGCGTGTGCCGACCTCTAAGCCACACTCTCGGTTCTCTTTATTTTTGTTCCTTTTGCATTTTTTAGAATCATTTTATAGAGTATGGAGGCACACACATGTCATGGCATGAGTAGGCCAGACCTTCATACCTGTCCTTCCACCAGTTAGGTCCTCGGGATCAAATTCAGGTCCTTGTACTTGGTGGCAAGCACCTTTAGCCACTGAGCCATCTCCCCAGCCCGAATTTCTTTTATTACGTTTTATTTATTGTGGAGGACACAACTTGTGAGAGTAATTTTCTTTCTGCCATGTAGGTTCTAGGAATCAAACCTAAATTGCCAAGATTGGTGGCAGATGCCTTTATCTACTCAACCTTTTCATTTTGTAGCAGTGTCTCCTCAAATTGCCAGTTTGGCCTTGAACTCACAGTGTAATAAGCAAGGGAGACCTGCGTCAACCTCCTAAGTAGCTGCGATGACACACTTGCCTCTTTTTTTTTTTTAATGTACACTTTTGTTTTTCTCTGCATATATGTCTGTGAGGGTGTCAGATTCTCTGGAACTGAAGTTACAGTTTTTGAGCTGTTATGTGGGTGCTGGGAATTGAAGAGGGTCCTCTAGGAGAGCAGCCAGTGCTCTTAACCTCTGAGCCATCTCTCCAGCCTCGGCATACTTGCCTTTTTATTGCTTTTGAGATAGGGTCTTTCTCTTTGGCCTTTCTGTCTTAGTGGTGTGTGGGGGTGTTTAAGATTTTATTTATTGTATGTATATCAGTGCTGTCTGCATTACACCAGCATGCCAGAAGAGGGCATTAGAGGGTACAGACGGTTGTGAGCCACCATGGGTTGCTGGGAATTGAACTCAGGACCTCTGAAAGCATAGACAGTGCTCATAATGGCTGAACCATCTCTCCAGCCCCTGCCTTAGTTCTTGAGTGCCAGAATTGTAGTTGTGTGGGTATCTTCTTTCCGGGCACCTTCTTTTTTTTTTTTAAATTTGTTAGGTCCCAGGCATGGTAGTGTACACCTTTAATTCCAGCACTTGGGAGGCAAAGCCAGGTGGATCTCTGGGAGTTCAAAGCCAGCCTGGTCTGCAGAGTGAGTTCCAGGAGTTCCAGGAACCCTGTTTCAAAAAAAAAAAAAAAAAGAAAGAAAAAAGAAAAAGAAAAGAAAGAAAAATTGATGTACTTAATGTGTGTGGAAATGTGTGTGCCATGACGTGTGTGGAGCTAAGGGCCGATTTTCAGAATCCACCCTCTCTTTCTGTTCTTGCTCTGCCGGGCTTCATGCTCCATCTAGCTGACCTGGGAGGCTTCTGGTAATTTTCCAGGTGCTTTCCATCTCAGCTGTTCCATAAGACATGCCCGTATTATATTTCCTGCTACCGATGCCTCCAGGCCTGACCGTGGCACCCCTTCCTCCATCCTCTCTTCTTGTGTAATGCCTAACTTTGTTATATTTGGTCTTCTTCCTCTGTAGAAGAGCTGGTATTATGGATGCTTATCTTCCCCCGTCTCCACCCTGAATCCTGCTTTTTTTTTTTTTTTTTTTTTTTTTTTACTTATTCATTGATTTAGTGGAAGGGGCACACAGGCAGAGGTGTGAGGTCAGGAGATAACTGGCAGTGCCCTGTCAGTTCTCTCCTTCTACCATGTAGGGTCTGGAGATCAAATTGTCTAGTTTGGTGGCAATTACCTTTATACACTGAGCCATTTCGACAGGCCCTCCTTTTAAAATTTCTTCCACTCCTTCTGGTTTGACTTGTCCTGGCTATAGTGGACAAACATGGTTAGGAGATTAAGTGGCTGGGCCAGCCCTGTTTGTCTAGCACTGTCAGCACCCATTTTCAGAAGTACCAAGCACCAGGCCCTTCAGGTACATCAGTGAGCTAGAGAGATATTCAAAGACCCCCTTCTCCTGGTGTCTGAATCCAAGAGAAAAAAGACCAGAAATCAACATGGAGTTGATCACAGGCAACATCACATGACCCTGTAAAGCAAAGAGGATGGAGGAAGGGGAGTCCACGGAGAGGTCTGGAGGAGTCTGTCCCAGGAAGTATGGGAAAATCTTATGGAGCAAGTGGATTCAGCCAAGGTTGACGTGATATGGGGGTGAAATGGGGTGAGGGCAAATCTAGGAAAGGGTGTACTGGGCAGCAGGGGCGGGCAGTGCAAAGGCGGTGGGAGCTGGTTGTGCAGTCCTGTATTATAACGAGGGGATAAGAGAAGCAGCCAGCCTGCAAATGAATCTCAGTGGCAAAGTGCTTGTCTAACATGTATGAGTTTGGGGTTTGGTTCTCAGTCCAGAAAAAAAGGTATGGCTCTGCCAGCTTCCGGAGCAGAGAGTGAGTGACAGACGAGCACTGGCTGCATACTGTGACAGAATCACTCGTTGACCTTGAAGCATGTGACAGGACTGGCAACGGGCTCTCAGGACCCCTGTTGCCATCCCATAATATCCAAGTTACAAGCACTCCCAAGCCATGCTTGGCTTTTTACAAGGATGCTAGAAATTCAAACTTGGGTCCTTATGCTTGCACAGCAAATCCTTTTTACCCATGTGAGCCACACCCACAGATCCCAAAACAGGGAGTCCCATCCTCAGTTTCTTCCTTCAGACTGCAACTCTGCAGATGGACCAAAGGGAAGAGGAGGAGGAGGAGGAGGAGGAGGAGGAGGAGGACATCAGAGATGGGGAAGGTGAGTATTCTGGGTAGCTCGCACTTCACCCCAGGGTTGCTTGGTTGACAGTTACTCCCGGGAGTACATCCAGAGAACTTGGGGAAGCTCAGCACTCCTCACTCTGCAGGGCCCAGCCGCAACCCTGAGGACTTACTCCTGGGACCACAGTCCCGGGGCCACTTCAGCCGCCAGCCGGTGAAGTATTCCTGGGGAGGTGTACGGCCAGTCACACATCAACTGTCCAGCCTGGCTCTGGTGGCTTCCAAGCTGTGTGAGGAGACTCCTGTCACTGTCTCGGCAGTGCACTATGGTAGTCTGAGGGGACGAGGCCTGGGCCCTGCTGCCACTCCCCCTGAAGGCAGCACCATGCGACGGAACCCTCTGCCTAAGCACTTTGAGATCACCCAGGAGACAGCCCGGCTGCTCTCCAAGCTGGACAGTGAGGCTGTGTCCAGGGCTACCTGTTGCACTGACCCAGAGCCTGAGGAATCTGAGCATCTCTGACTACCTGAGGGACCCAGAATTGAGTCGAAGGCCCTATGTATCTCCCTACCTGCCCCCACCTGGTGACCAAACTAATCCAGTGGGGCGTGGGGAGAGATGGGGTTATCAGTGAGCTCACGGAAGGAAGACTGAGCAGCCTGTGGAAGTTCTAAGACTCTTGAAGTGTACCAACATCTCCCTGCCAGGGCGGTATAAAACAGCAAGGTGGCACAGGTGCTGGCGACTCAGGGTGACACTCAGTGGTCAGTACAGGCTGGAAGATCCTTGGGGTCTACCCCGGTCTCTGCCTTCTGAGACAGTATCTGACTTCTATCACAGTTGGATTCCTGGCCCTGCTGCCACTTACCTGCGGGCTGATTCCAGGTGAATAGGTCGGTGCAATCAGCCCCATCACCTTCTTTGATTACTTACTTTCTTTCTTTTTTTGTTGTTTGTTTGTTTTGAGACAAGCTTTCATTATGTAGCTCTGGCTGGTCTGGAGCTCCTTTTGCAAACCAGGCTGGCCTAGAACTCTCAGAAATCCTCTGCTCCCAAGTACTGGCCAAGTCTCAGTTCTTACAACCTCTCAATGAAACCATATTCTGCAGCCGGTGGGATGGCTGAGCACAATCTTCCAGACCGGTGTGGTGGAAGGAGAGAACCCAGTCCTGAAAATTGTCTGAAAATTTAATTAATTGTTAACTTTAAAAAAAAAAAAATCAGACTTGTGGTGACACGCCTTTAATCCCAGGCAGAGGCAGGCGCATTCCTGAGTTCAAGGCCAGCCTGGTCTACAGAGTGAGTTCCAGGACAGCCAGGAGAAAAACCCTGTGTCAAAAAAACTAAAATAAAATAAATCCAGTATGTTCTTGCACATCTGTCTTTGCCAGGGAAGGCTGACAAAGAAGAAAATCACCAGTAAGAGCAACATTCTTTACTCCTTTATTACTGAATCAACGCTTCTAAAATCACCCTCAAAACCCACAGGCAATTAGCGCAGGGCCTGGAGCCCAAGATGAGTCAGTCAGGCCCTGCCAGAGTTCTGTGTCCCTGATCAAAGAACTTGGTGCAGATAATCGGACAATAGGGCTGTGTGCTGCAGACCCAGGAAGGTCAGGGGAGGAGGCGCAGGCCAGAGCCAGCGGCAGGCTGGGGAGTAACCAGAGGAAGCCAGGATGTTGTACAGGGTCTGGGGCACAAGCCGCTGGCCGGGCAGCAACGGGGCGGGGGTCCAGCCATGGAGATTGACCACTGCTGAGCGAGGCGGGGTTTGCAGCTCGATACAGGATTGGACAGAAACTGGGGGGGGGCGCCCCAGAAGCCACCGCTGTGGATCTTTCCAGCTGCCAGGTGACTCAGCCCCAAAGGCGCGAAAGAGCAAGCGCGTGAGGTAAGCGGGGGACAGAGTGGCAGGGGAGGAGGTGAGACTGCTGCAGTTTCAGGAGACCATACTTCCGACTTGGGGGTGGGACTCTCCAGGGGGCGGGACATCCCCAGGGGCCGGAGCTGGGGCAGGTGGGGGCGTGGCCTTAAGGCCCCGCCTCTCCCGCCGCCTCAGCCGGGGGCTCCAGGCACACAGGACACTGCGGCTCAACCGCCCGGTCGCAGGGCCATGGGTCTCAGTCCCGCCTCAACCCGCTGCGAGTCTGCCCCATCCGCCGCTTGACTGGAGGCCCAGGTGAGACGAGCGCCAACCGTACCAGTGTGGGTGCAGGCTCCCGGAGAAAGCGAGACGCGCCCCCTCTTCTCCACAACCCTCCTCCTAGCCCAGGGTCGTCTGCGACACCCTCCTTTGTCCTGGAGGCTTCCTTGGTCGTCTGTCCCACCCCAGAACGGCCTGCTTTTAGAGCTCTTGCGCGGAACGCTGCCTGTAACTCAACTTCTGGGCTGTCTCTCTGTCTACTCTGTCTACTCTGCTTGCGCTAAGTCACCTCTGCGCCTTGGCACTGCCCTCCGGGTGCTGGCCACAGACCTCCCCCTGGTGTGCACACGCCCCCTGGCCTCTGCTCTGTGCAAGGACCCTGGCCGGAGTGTGAGCTTCTTCAGGCTGTCCTGCCGCTCAAGCCGCCTTTGTGCTGCCCCAACCCACCCACCCACACCTCTCGGAAACCACGGGTGGCCAATCCTGTGGCGGAGAGGTGGCACGTGGCCCTGAATTGCAATGTGGATGCATTTACTCTGGGTTCCTAAGATTTAACAAAAAAACAAACAAACAAAAAAAAAGCCCATCAGAGATCTTTTTAAGAACTGTTATGACAGCATTCAAGGGAAGCCACAGGATCTCTGTGGTTTTGAGGCCAGCCTGGTCTCAGCAAGTTCTAGGCTAGTTGGAATGCATAGTGAGACCGTGCTTTATGAGCTTGCTTTTTTTAGTTCACTCTGGCCCTCACCACAGACACCTTGCGGAGAGGGCCTCTGGGTCTGTAAGCTGCACCCATGCAATCCATCCTTGTCTCTGGTTGCTGCCAGTTCAAGTGGCCTTCCGTCAGGGACCATTGGCCCTGATCTCTCTCTCTCTGTGTCCACAGGTGGTCATCATGGGCCAGTGCTACTACAATGAGACCATCAGCTTTTTCTACAATAACAGTGGCAAGGAGCTCAGCCTTCACTGGCGCCCCAAAGATGTCATCGTGGTGGCGCTGGGGCTGGCAGTCAGTGCGCTCGTGTTGCTGACCAACCTGCTGGTTATCGCAGCCATCGCCTCCAACCGTCGCTTCCACCAGCCCATCTACTACCTGCTTGGCAACTTGGCTGCGGCTGACCTCTTCGCTGGCATGGCCTACCTCTTCCTCATGTTCCACACTGGTCCACGCACTGCCAGACTCTCCATCAAAGGCTGGTTCCTTCGACAGGGCCTGCTGGACACCAGCCTGACGGCGTCTGTGGCCACACTGCTGGCCATCGCTGTGGAGCGGCACCGTAGCGTTATGGCTGTGCAACTACACAGCCGCCTGCCCCGGGGGCGTGTGGTCACACTCATTGTGGGTGTGTGGGTGGCTGCCCTGGGCCTGGGGTTGCTGCCTGCACACTTCTGGCATTGCCTCTGTGACTTGGACAGTTGCTCACAAATGGTCCCCCTCTTCAGCCGCACCTACCTGGCTGTGTGGGCCCTGTCCAGGCTGCTTGTTTTCCTGCTCATGGTAGCCGTCTACATTCGAATCTTCTTCTATGTACGTAGACGGGTGGAACGCATGGCGGAGCATGTAAGCTGCCATCCCCGCTACCGAGAGACGACACTCAGCCTGGTCAAGACGGTTGTCATCATTCTGGGTGAGTGGCTGCTCTGACAGTAGCTTCTGGGACCAGACCTCCACAGGATCCTGGGGAACTGAGCAAGTGGCCTGATGTAGCAGGAGGGAAGAGGGTATTCTCCAGGGAGGCGGTGTCCTCAATGGAAGGGAAGGGAGAAGAGAACAAAAAGGTAAAGCCCTGTGGCAGGGCCAAGCAGAGGCTCCAAAGAAGAAGAGATGTCCCGTGTCCTGCCTTCATAGAGGAGAAAAGGACAGCCTTCAGTTTTCATCTGTTTCCCAAAGGAAACCATTTAGAGGTCTTTTTTGTTTAATTGCGTTTGAAGCAGAGCCTCATGTAGCCCAGACTGGCCTCAAATTCTCTATGTAGGAATAGAGGGTGACCTCAGACTCCTGATCCTTTTGCTTCCTAAGTGCTAGGGTCATAGATGGTGCTGTCATATCTGATTTTAGATGCTTGATTGAACTGAAGTCCTGCTGCAGACTAGGCAAGCATTCTGCCAAGGGACCGATAGCCTCAACTCTTTTTTTTAGATGGGTTTTCTCTATGTAGCCCTGGCTGTCCTGGAACTCACTGTGTAAATGAGGCTGGCCTTGAACTAACAGAGATCCTCCTGCCTCTGCCTCCCAAGTGCTAGGTCAGTACATCCATTTTTTTTTAAGATTTATTTTTATTTGTGTATATGTGTGGCTGTGAGATTGTGTCTGGGTTTGTGCAAATGTGTGCAAGTACACGTGGAGGCTTAGAGGTGTCCTAGGCCCTTGGAACAGAAATTACAATCAGTTCTGAGCTGCCTAATGTACGTGTTGAGAACCAGAGTCAGGTACTGCAAGCCCTCTCTTTCTAGCCCTGGTTATTATTTTCGCTTGTTTGCTTAGTTTTCTTTTGAGGTAGGGTGTCACTATGTAGCCCTCGCTGGCCTGGAGCTCTCTGTGTACATTCGGCTGGCCTTGAATTCATGGAGATCCACCTGCCTCTGCCTCCCAGGTGCTGAGATCAAAGGTGTGTAGCACTGTGTCTGGCTTCTGGTTCTTGTTTCTGCTTTTGAGGTAGGGTCTCTGCATTGCCCTGACTGTTCTGGAACTCACTATGTAGCCCAGGCTGGCCTCAAACTCACACAGATTCATCTGCCTCTGCCTCCCGAGCACTGGGATTACAGGCATGTGCCATCTCGCCCAGCTCTGGTTATCTTTTTAAACACAGGGTTTCATGAATTTGGCTGAGAGTGGCCTTGAAGCCCAGACCCTTTTGTTTATTTCCTGGCTTGATGGGTATGTCCTATCACACCTGGCTCCCCTTTGGAGCTTAATTATTCTTTTGGGGGTCTAGAAAAATGATTAAAAGCACTTCCTGTTCTCCCCAGAGGTCCCAAGTTCAATTCCCAATACCACAGTAGGCAGCTCATAACCAACTACAGCTCTAGCTCCAGGGGGTCTGATGCCCCTGTCTGCCTCTAGAATATCACCACACGCATGTGGCTTACACTCATGTACACATAGAAATAAATCTTTTGTAATTTATGTGTGTGTGTGTATGCGTGTGCACACGCACCACAGTTTGTGGAAGTTCAAGGAAGGGCTTGCGGGGATCAATTTTCTCTGTATTCTATGTGGGCCCTGGGAAGTGGATTTGGGTCCTCACTCTTACCAATAAGTCTCTCTTCCGGGCCTTCAGTAGGGGACAATGTGGTCTCTTTGGCTCTGGGGTACAGGAGGTACACTGGTTCTCCCCAGTGATTCCTGTACCCCTCCTCTAACTCCTGTCCAATCCCTCAGTGAACAAATCCTCTGTAGAAGGTTCCAGGGCCCTGGAATACTCTGCCCCATTAGGAAGGTTGTCATTTTGGCAGACAAGTTAGAGAACGGAGTCTGTCCCCTCTCAGCAAGTCTACCCACACAGGGAGCTTGTCTGCTGTGGGCCACTGCCCGAGCACACAGCTATCCGGGCAATCTCCAGGTGGCCACATGGTCAATCTCCCCCCCCCCCCGCCTCTGTCCTACAGGGGCGTTCGTGGTGTGCTGGACGCCTGGCCAGGTGGTGCTGCTCCTGGACGGTTTGGACTGTAAATCCTGTAATGTTCTGGCTGTGGAGAAGTACTTCCTGCTCCTGGCTGAGGCCAACTCACTGGTCAACGCCGTGGTGTACTCCTGCCGGGATGTTGAGATGCGCCGGACCTTCCGCCGCCTTCTCTGCTGTCTGTGTCTCCGCTGCTCCGACCACAAGTCTGCCCATTACTCATCTTCTGCCCGGACGGGTGCCAGCACCCGAATCATGCTTCCTGAGAATGGCCACCCACTGATGGACTCCACTCTTTAGCTACCTCGGAATGAGGCAGGAGACAGGAGCTTCATTGTCTACAGCCTGAAGCCACTTGCAGAGCCCCTGACTCAATCCAGCCCAACAAATGCATGGCCCCTCAGCACTCCTCAGGCCCACAGATCTGCCTGCCCCAAAGCAGGGTTTTGGGGACATCTCAGTGCACCTGGCAGAGCATCCAAAGGGGCTTGGCAATCTGGCCCTCAATCATCTCAGGTTTTAGGGTTTTTAAACAGACATTTTTTATGTTTTTGCTGTATATCTGGTACGTCCTGTGCACTGCTTTTTCCTGCATGGTGCTGTAGGTGTCAGGGTTGAAGAGGTGAGATCTTTCCCCTGCTGCAGGGTAGACTACAGGTTGACCGTGTTCTGGAGGCTACTTTTTGGGTTTGTCTTTGAGATGCTCTGTGTAGCTGAGGATAGCCTTGAACTCTTGATCCTCCTGACTCCACCTCCCAAGTGCTGGTACTGAAGCTGATTCCTTAGGAGTATTGAGCAGCCTCTGAGAGCTCACCTGCTTGCTTCTACTCTGAGACTGAGGTTGACAAGGTAGGTTTTTTTTGTTTTGTTTTTGTTTTTTGTCAATTCAGACAACCTGTCCTCATGTCCTGGCATTATGTATCATGACTCAGGGCTGCCAAGAATGTCTTAACATGGAATCCCTTGGCCCAGGCTAGCTTTGAACTTGCTGCATAGGCTAGGCTGGTCTTGAAATTTATCATCTTGCTTCTGAATCCTATGGGATTAGAGCTATCTGCTACAACAAGCAGCTTCAGTCTTTCTGGAATCTTGCAAATATTTTCTTTTGCCTCCATCCTTTCTACTATCCTTCTACTTGTCTTCCTCTTCAAAAACCTAGGGTGATGTCTAGTTCCTGTGAGCCTTTTTCTTCTGCCTGCTCCCCTCCCCTCCTCTCCCCACCGCCACACACACACACCCTGTTCTTTTAGACATGGGATCTCACAAAGCAGCCCAGGCCATCCTAGAACTCACTGTGTAGCTCAGGCTAACTGCAAACTCTCGGCTGTCTTCCTGCCACAGCTTCCTGAGTGACGTGGTAACAAGCCTAAGACACCAGATTGTGATGTGGCCCATTTCTAACTGCACAGCCTAGAAAAGACACAGATTCCACAGGGGGCCCAGAAAACTCCCAGGGAAGGGGCTTCAGTGTCCCATGGAGCCTGGAATTAAGTCACAAGTTTACCAGGGCTTTCTACTTTCTCAAGAAGTCCCCCGAAACCTCAGATCTGCCAAGCCTGAGATGAGTCCCTTCCCTGCCTAGAGAAGCCTCCTGGCAGGCAGTGTAGGCCATGAACTTGGTTCCCTGCTCCACCTCACCAGAGAAGAGTCAGAGTTATGTTCTCATTTCAGATCACATGCAGAGTAACAGCAGGAATTTGAGCCTCTGTCTTATCTGAAGCCAAATTCTTAAGGCATTAAAGCATCCATTTCTAAGGAATTGAAACATCTCTGTTTCTACAGTAAATGTTCCTGCTTTTCACACTGCTGGGACCTTGCACATGCTAGGCTAGTTCTCCACCAAAGAGCTCCTGTCTCACAAACCATTTCCAAAAGGAAAATGATGCAAGACTGAATGGAAGGGCTGGATAGTTCTTGATCAGTGTGGTCAGTGTGCACCTACAGCCAGAAATCTCCCAAGGTTAAAACCCAGGAACTCCTCCAGCCAGGTGTCCATGAAGGACACTGCCCCTACCTCCATGGAGCTCTGGGCCTGCTGGACAGTGACACTTTGGGTATCAAGGCAGCCAATCAAATCCTGAACTGGGGACCCCTGATGGCCTCCAGAAGTCAGCTGTCTTACCTATACTTTGGCTATCCCCCATCAGCATTGTCCAGATTGTTGAGGAATTTGCCTTGTCGGCTTTTATGTATTTTTTTTCTTTCCTTTCCCACTTATAAGTCTTGTGATTTTTTTTTTTGTTTGTTTGCTTCTTTGAGACAGGGTTTCACTGTGTAACACTGGCTGGGTTCAAACTCAAAGAGATCCATAATGCCTGCCTCTTAAGAGGTGGCATTAAAGGACAACGCCTAGCTGTGCATAGTTTTGCACATGTGCAGGTGTGTTCTTGTACTGTTGTGTGCATGTGGAGCTTGGAGATTAGTGTCAGAAGTCATCCCTGAAGGCTTGGTCACCTTAGTCAACAAAGCAGGGTCTCTCAGTCAAACCCAAACGTCACCAATACAGCTAGTCTCACTGGCCAGCTCATGCTGGGAAATCCCCTGTCTCTGCCATCCAAGTCTTATAGTCCAGTCTCTTCACCCTGGCATTTGTGTGGATTTTTGAGGTTCCGAATTCTGGTCTTCACACTTGAGCAGCAAGCACTTTAAATGCTATGCCATTCTCCCAGCCCAGCTTTTCCCTCTTGATCTCTTCTCTGCTGGGTAGCATCAAGTTTTTGTCTCTTTTAGGCCACTCGAACTTGTCCTCTCCTTCCCCCCAGAACAGGCCTGTGTAGTGCTGTGGCACTGGCTGGCCTTTTGTACAGGCCCCACTCTGCCCACCACGCCGATTGCCCACCTTGCTGGGGGGGGGGGGGCAGGCCTAGGGTTTCCTTCATCAGAGGGTTTCCCTTGTTTTTATACATTTGCATTTCTTGCTGGGGACCTTGTGAAGTCTCCCCATCTCCTCCAACCCACACACACACACACACACACACACACACACACACACACACGCTGCTTGAGTTTCCTCTTCAATAACAACAGAAAGAAGATGGCTTCCCAGTCGTGCTAAACCTTCATGAAGCATTCGCCTGAATTGTCTCCGAGCAAATGGATTCTGGGAGGTTCTGTGACTCTGGAGAGGGACTGTGTCCCCTTTTCTTTTGCTTGAGGAGCCTGTTGTCTTATCATAAATCCCAAACAAGAGAGACAAAAGGGAGGTTGAGAGTTCTGTATGACTTGGGATGTACCCGAGGGTAGGCCTTCAGTAAACAGTCTTCATTCTTTAGCCAGACACTAGCTATTGGGTAGAGCTGGGGTTGGAAGGGATGAACACGTTTAAGGAGATCAGGAGGCAAAGACCCTTTGCCAAGGTTCACAACATGAGTTCAAGCCTTAGACCCATATGGTAGGTGAGAACCATGTCCCGTAATCCACACCCGTGCCATGGTGTTGCAAAGGCAACACACACATACAACAACATTTTTAAAAGAAAAGAACAGGTTGTAGTCGCTCCTGAGCTGGCTCTTGATAAAACAATGTTTCAAATTGACTTGCCTGGTAGAGAAAAGGACTCTGTTCTGGCTTTCTTCCTACCGTCTACACATTTCTGGCCCCTCAGATGGATGGAAGAGGAATAGAAAGCTGTAGAGAAAGTCAGGATTCTGGTGACCAGCCAAGGGGGCTGCCTGAAGGGCCCAAGCTTTACGGGGAACAGCTGTTCCCTCCAGGCCATATGTGGTCACTGCTGTGTTGGATCAGCAGCTGTGTTCGTTCACACACGACCTCACAAGATTGGGCCACCAACATGCTCCTGTAGGAGGAGAGGAGAGACAGATGGGGCAGCTGTCCTCGCTGAAGAGATGTAAACCTGTAGCGATGGGGGAGGGGTGGTACGTTTCAACGCTGTGGCTACCCACGGGTCTGTAAGTAACCTCAATAAATCCCCTGGTTCACAAAACTGGATTTGAGTGAAATTGTTTCTTTGATCAGGTTAACCTCTTATCTGGAGTGACTCCCCCAGAAAAAGTCACACAACAGGGACATTGAGTTTTTGAGGTCGGAAGAGTTCTGACAAGGGTGGGAGTCATAGGAAGAGCTGAGGCTCTGAGGACTGGTGGGGGGACACACGATGTGAGGGACTGTGAAAATGACCAGAAAATTTGAGGAGCCTAGGACTCAGGTGTGGGAGGCAGGCCTGGGGAGTAGGAATTCTGAGGAGCTGTGGAGAGTGGGGCGAGGAGGAGCCAGAGTTCTGAGGAACTAGCTGGGCCAGTGAGGGGGAGGGGAAGGAAGGAGTTCAGGGCATTCTCTGCTCCTAGTAAATGTGATGTCAGCTTGGCTATATATGAGACTCTGTCTCCAGTAGTGAAAAGATTAGGGTGCAGATGTAGCTCAGTTGATACAGTGGTTTCCTGGTGTGCACAAAGCCCGGATTCCATCCTACCACCACACAAACAGGGTGCTGAGGCTCACACCACTCAGCCCAGCACTTAGGGGTAGAAGAAAGTTTGAAATCGTGCTTCACTCACAGCAAATTCAGTCAACTTTCATTACATAACGAATTTGAGGGGAGCCTGGACTACGTGAGACTGCGTCGGACATAGCCCTGGCTGTCCAGAAACTGTGTAGACCAGGCTGGCCTGGAACTCACAGTGATCTGCCTGCCTGATGCTGGGATTAAAGGCATGTGCCACTTTGCCTCAAGTTTTTGAAAAATTCTGAAGGGAGATTGAAGGTGAGGGGCAGTGAGGATGCAGGCCTCTGAGGAAGGAAACTCAGAGATGTGGAGCGTTGTGAAGAATCTGGGCCCTGCAAACAATAGGGACCTGAACAGATCCGGGGACCAGGGACAAGGCAGAGGACCTCTCAAGGTGAGGGGAGCCAAAAAGTGCACCAGACCTAAGCAGATGGCGGCAGTCGTTACCGTGGCAACCCTCACCCGGGTTCACAGTGGCCATTGAGAAACAAGTTTCTAGGGAGTCGCTGGGGAGGAGGAACAGTGCATGGCGCTGATTGGTGAAGGCTCCGCAAGGGCGTGTCGGGGGAGGGCTCAAGATACAGAAGAGAATCCTGTTTCCTAGACAACCCTCAACGGGGGTCCTCGGCAGCCGTTGAGAAGGCTGTTTGGGGCACATCACGAGGGAGAGGGCGGTGCACCACGCCGATTGGCGAAAGGGGCGTTTCTGTGGGCGGTGCGCAGCGGCGATTGGCTGGTGGGCGAGGAGGGGGCGTATCGCCAGGTCTGCGGCGGTTGGCTGCTGCGCACGCGAGGAAGCTCTGGCAGGCCCTGTCCCTCAGCGCCCGCCCGGCGCGTCGCCCATGGCCTCCCCTCTGCGTCCCGTGCCGCCGCAGCCCGCCCCGCGCCGCCCTCCGCCCGCAGCTCCAGTGGGCCAGGACACGAGCGACGTCCTGCAGCAGATCATGGCCATTACGGACCAGAGCCTGGATGAGGCTCAGGCCAGGTGCGGCTCCGGGGCAGCGAGGGAACGGGCGGAGGCGGGATGAGGAGGGGGACAGGTGCAGCCGAGCTTGGAGAGATGGACAGGCGGAGCGGCCCTTGGGCCAGAGGGAATGAAGGATGAGGGAGCTTGTCCTGGACTAGAGGGTGGCTTCGTGAGGAAAGGGGCATCAGAGTGTTGGGGGTGAGGGTCCAGCCCTGGAAACACGAGGCATTGGAAAGATAAGTGCTCTGATGATCTGTTATTGGCGGGAGCGAGGACGACAGTTTGCAAGACGTACAACTGAAGAGAAGCGGCTGAAGAGCTGAACTAGGGTGATCTGATGAAGGATCCGTTGAGAACGTTCAGAAACGGAAAAAGGGAGCTTTGTGGACATAGAGGCCACCTTTCTTTTTAAAGTTTTTTTTTTCTATTTTTTAAGATTCATTTATTTATACAGTATTCTGCCTGCATGTGTGCCTGCATGCAAGAAGAGGGCACCAGATCTCATTATAGATGGTTGTGAGCCACTGTGCAGTTGCTGGGAATTGAACTCAGGACCTTTAGAAGAACAGCCAGTACTCTGAGCTATCTCTCCAGCCCAGGTTTTTGTTTGTTTGTTTTGTTTTGTTTTTTTTGTTAACGTGCCTATGTGTGTGCCCCTGACTTTTGTGTAGGGAACTCAAGTTTGCTGGAAAAGAGTAGCAAGTGCCTTAACCCCCTCAGCTCTCTCTCCAGCGCCCCCTTCCACCTCCCCACTACACACTCTTATTACAAACTCACTTTGTGGTAAAAGATGACCTTGAGATGATCTCTGTGAGTTCAAGGCCAGCCTGGTCTACACAGCAAGTTCAGCCAGGGCTACACGGAGAAACCCTGTCTTGACACACACTCCTACCCCCATCCTCCCCCCAAAAAAGATAACCTTGAACTCCTGATCCTGCCTTTACCTCTGGAGTGCTGGGATAAGAGGTATTTGCCACCCACAAACCTCATCACAAGGATTTGTTTCCTTTTTATTTATTTCTGTTTGTTTGGGAGAGGACCTTATGTTTCCCACGGTAGCCTGAAACTCACCATATAGCTTAATATGTAGCTATTGAACTTCTGATCCTCCTCCCACCTCCTGAGTGTAGGATGACATGTACGGCCACACCCAGCTCATTCAGTGCCTGGGATTGACCACAGGGTTTTGTGAGTGCAAGCCAAGCATGATGCTAACTGAGCCACAGACCCAGCCATCAAGGACCAATCCTAAATTTTTTTTTCTTTCAGGTTTGTGTGTGTAGTGTATGTGCGAATGTGGTTTTGTGTGTATGCACACATGTGCTTGATGGTTCGTGCTGTGCCTGTGTGTGTCGAGGTAGGAGGTTAATGCAGCTGTCTTTCCTCAGTCGTGCTGAGGTTTGTTAGGTTGGTTGGTTTTGCTTTTGCTTTTGGGTTTTTCACTACAGGGTTTCCTGGTGTAGGCCTGACCATCTTGAACTCACTTTGTAGACAAGGTTAGCTCAAACTCTTCCCCCTGCCTCTGCCTTTGAGTGCTGGGATTAAAGGCGTGAACTACTACAGTTATTTGTTTTGTGGAATGGAGGCGTGTGTACGGAAATCCAAGAAGACTCAGTGTACGGAAATCCAAGAGAGTTCTTTCCTTCCGCCGTGTGGTTCCTGAGACCAAATACAGGTTATGGAGCTTGGCAAAAAAGGGCTTTTCCTCACGAGCCATCTCCAAAGCTCAGGTCTCTCTGTACTTGGAGTGACTGCAGAGTTGTTGCTCCTGAAAGGCACAAGTTTTGGCAGAAGCCCAGAATGGATTCAGTTCTTGGATAAGTCCCCAAAGGATGCTTTAGGAGTCATTATTTGATTACCTCCTTTTGTTTGGTTGGTTGGTTTGTTTTCCAGTGTAGAGTTTCTTTCTGTGGCCCTTGCTGTCCTGGAACTCACTCTGTAGACCAGACTGGCCTTGAGCTCAGAGATCCGACTGCCTCTGCCTTCTGCGTGCTTCGCACTAAAGGTGTGCAGCCACCTTCACCGGCTTGATTACCATATTTTTGAGGCAGGGTTTCACTGAGCCCAGAAATGGCAGATTAGCTAGATCCTGGCATCTTTGTGTCTCTTTCTGACCTTCCACCCACAGCACTAGAGTTACAGACACCATTATGCCAAGGTTTGTTATATTTGCGAATGGTAGGAGATCAGAACCCAGGGCTTTGTTCTTGCAAGGCAGGTGCTTTATTGGCTAAGCCATCCCCCAGTCCCTGAAGGAGCCTCTCCTAGCCAGCCTTCCTTCCTTCCTTCCTTCCTTCCTTCCTTCCTTCCTTCCTTCCTTCCT